CAACTCAAAAAAAAAATTTTAAGTAATATAGCAGTAAAACTTATAAGAGAGAAGTTTATTATTTACCTATGAAGAAAGGAAAGGTGATCCAACCGCCTTGCCTGCGATTACAAGTTGGAAGCTGGGCTTCTCCTTCAGCGGAAGATGAGATCCTGTCCATGATTGGAGGCTGCTGCCTGCTACTAAATGCAAACTATGCAATTCGGTGGCTACTGCTGCTATTAATGGTGTGACATTAAATATTGGTCATGCTAGTCGTTTTACATATGTGCAGTAGTGCCTAACTCATGGGGCACAAAGACAACTTTAAACGTATGGGTACAAAGACGACTTTAGGCAATATGTATCAACCTTGGATATTGAAAGAGTGAGAGGTTACTGTGCAGTAACCTCTCTTTTGTCATGTGTATAACCTCTTCTTTTGATAAGTGGTAGTTTTTATTTTTAGTTGACTATTTTCTTTAATCAACAAAAAAATCATAAATATTTCTCCTCCCAATTCTTGTCTTCTTTCTCTTTCTTCCTCTACTTTCAACCCTCATCTCCCTCTTTTTTCTTCATCTTTTTTTCCCTTAAAATTTTTTCTTTATAATTAATTATATTAAGATTATTTTCTTACTATTTTTTTAGGTGATTATTATTGATCATGGAGAGGTATTGCAATAATTAACTGATTTATAATGTCACTTCCTCCTTCATTAATTTTAACTCTTTAATCCAATATTTTGCTTTTTTCTTCTTTTTTTTCCTTCATCCTAATTTTCTCTGCCTTTTCCACTCAGTCAATGTATCTTTTTCTTTTTCCTCTATAATTAACTGAATGTATGTTTTTCTTGCATGGGAATGGATATTTCTTTTCTTCATTTGTCAAAAAATCATCATTCATGACCATCTCTTTTTTTTTAAGAGAAACATGGACAATAGACCTTTTACCTCCGCTACTCCTACTGTTTGGTATGTTCATTTTTTTTGTTATTCCTATTTCTTCCCTACCAAATATAGACTTAAGTTATTTTTTGTTAACTGTATTTTATTTAGCCTTTATCATTTTTTTCGCCTCTTTATCCTATTACCACGGTGTATTTATTTATTTTGACTTGATCTCCTTGATATTCATTAAGCCTTCCATTATTTTGGTTCTGCAAGTTGATTCTCCTCTTGTGAGGTTTGTTTTAAATCGAAATGCAAAATTTGCATTTGGCAATTATGATATTTTAGTTCCTTTTCAATGCATAATTGAATCTTCCACTTCCTTTAGTAATTCTTTAGTATTGAATTTTGTACCTTTTTTATGCATTGAAGAGTCTTCTATTCGAATTTCTTGCAAGTTTTATTGTGAATTTGTAGGATGGAAGTTTTTACGTAATGGTGTCTTGTTTGAAAGAGAAATAGTGGTGAAATTTTATGTTTTATCAAGCATATATCATTTATGTTACCATTGAACTTTTTTTGCATTTTTCATGTACTTGATTGTTGACTTCTTTGCTGTTGTTTGTTAATACAATACAATAAGATATATTTGTACTGCATCACAATAAGCAAATTGGAGCAAACTTTTGGAACATTCCACTAAAGATAAACTTTATTTTTTAAGCTTATTTTTTGACCATTATAATTGCTCTTTATTTGAAAGCAAATTATAGTGTGATGAATTTTAGCCAAAATTTTTTAGGTGGGTTTAAGCTATGCTTGCATAACTTGGTTCCTTCTAATATATATATATATATATATATATATATATATATATATATATATATACCTAGTTACCCACACATTACATATAAATGTTTTTAAAAAAGAATTATTACATGTACTTTCATTTTAGGTATGAATTACTAAAATTTTGAGAAATAATTAAAGATTAAAGAGAACAAATTTAGATGTGCGCATAGTTTTCTTTTTCTTAAAAAAAAAAAAAGATCAGTATGAGCATTCACTTACTATTTGATGAAGGATCGGTGTCTAAATGTTAAAACATATTTGATCAAAGGTTGGCATTTAAATGTTAAAACTAGAGGTGGCAATTTGGATTGAAATCCATTTATCCATCCATATAAACCATAATTAAATGGATTTGGATTATCCATTTATAATATTGGTTTTAAATGGTTTATCAAAGTAAAACCATTAAATTAAATGGATTTATATGAATTATCCACAAAAACCACATATATCCATTTACTTGAAAACCAAATAAAAGAAACGGACAGCAAATGACTAAAAAATGAGCTATTCTAAAATAGAACGTTGGGGTGTGAAAATGCCGTCCCCGTGCTCCCTCGTTTTCACCGGTTTCGTTCCCTCCTTCGCGGCCATCGCCTCCCATTCCCCTCTGTTCTAATCACTACTTAACTAAATCCATCCTCTCTGTCTGAATCCTCCTAAAATTTTACCCAACCCAGGATCCCAGATCGAGTGAGGATGAATTTTGCGGGCAAGTGATCGGAGGTAAATCTTCATCCTTTTCTTGCTGATATCTTCGTCTTTGTTTTCCGTTTGCGCTTAAATTGTTTGATAATTAGGAGGGAACGGGTCTGTCTCTGTTTCTGGTTCTAGGTTGTTGAGTTTCCAATCAATATTTGTTAAATCAAAGCTTTTGGGCTGGCTAATTAACTTGAATTATTGGGGTTATCGCATTTCATTTGCATGTGGCTAGCTGCTGTGACGACTAGGAGTTGTAAGTCTTTTGGTTGTAATGCTGAAACAAGTGAGATTCGGTTGGCTTTGAAGCAAACCCATTACTTTTTCCCAACGATTCCTTGTGGAGGATTAGAGTGCAAGCCTGGCACCACAGAATTTGTGGTTCAGAAATCCCAACTAAGTTGGGAAGGGACTTGTCAATTGGCACTACAAGATAAAATGGATACTTCAACGAGAGCTTCCCTGGAGTCACTGATACCTGGAATGAGATTCTGTACAATATTTTTCTCTAGAATGATTCATGTTATAGCAGACAACTAATTCCCAGGTCCTTATTCCTAGTTGAATTCATTACTGTGATGAGGACATTAGGAAATTTAGTTAGAGTTGTTATGTCTAACATTAATTAGAAGACATGACATATGATTGCATGCATCGAAATCTGGCAAACTGATCAAAATTTAGTTTTTAGAGTAAGTAATGCATGATAAATTGCAAGCTTGGGATTTCTGGACTTCTAAATGTTTAATGTTATCTTAATCCTTTCCTCTAACTAGTATTTTTTTGCTGTCATTTTGCACTTAATAAGATCTGAATTTTTTTTCTATTCTTTGGTGCAATGAATATTAGGTACTTGTTCAAATGGAAGGAGAAGAAGAGCACAATGTTGAGCGAGTTTCATCAACAGATTCTATACCTGAAAGTGGAGAGGCTACCGGAGAAAGTTCAGCCAAGCGAATTAGGAGGCAAACATCAATTGCTTGGGATGGTTTTGATACTGTAGCAGTGACTGCTGATGGAAGGAAAAAAATTAAGTGTAAATGGTGTGCACAAACATATTTATTAAAAGGTAATTCTGGAACATCTAATATGCTCAAGCATTTTGAATCTTGCAAGTGGAGAGAGTTGAAGAATACAAGCTTTGGGGCTCCTTTGGATCAACATATGTATCGTGAAAAAATTGCAGTTGCTATTATAAAACATAATTACCCTTTTGAATTTGTGGAACATGAGGGCATTCAAGATCTGCATAACTTCTTATGTGAAGAGGCAAAACCTGTATCAAGAAACACAATCAAAGCAGATGTTGTGAGAATGTACTCGAGAGAAAAAGAAACTCTTAAACATGCCTTAGAGAATGTGAAGAGTAGAATATGTTTGACATTCGATCTATGGAGTTCATCCACTACAGATGGTTACTTGGCACTTACGGCTCATTATATTGATGAAAATTGGGTGCTCCAAAAACGGATATTGAATTTCCGTCATATTCCTCCACCACATAATGGTGTCTCTTTGGCAACAGGGGTAATGGATTTACTTAGAGAATGGGGAATTGAAAAGAAATTTTTCTCATTGACTATGGATAATGCAGCCTACAATGATGTTTTGGTGAATGTTTTGAAGCGTCATTTGAAGATTGCTGGTCCGTTGGTGTGTGATGGAGAATTCTTTCATGTACGTTGTGGAGCACACATTCTAAACTTGATAGTAAAAGCAGGTTTAGAAATAGTTGAGCAACCTCTTTCAAAAATACGAGAATCTGTCAAGTATGTTCGGTCAAGTGAAGCAAGAAAAGTCAAATTTGCTGAATGCATTGCTAGAGTCTCTATCAATTGCAAAAAGAAAGTTCGACAAGATATTTCAATAAGATGGAATTCAACATATCTTATGTATGAATCTGCTTTGGAGCATCGAGGAACATTTCAAGAATTGCAGTTAGTTGATCCAAATTATAAATGGTTTCCAACAGATGAAGAGTGGAAAAAGGTTCATCGCATATCTCTGTTTTTAAAACCGTTTTATGATATCACTACATTGTTTTCTGGATCTCATTATCCTACTGCTAATTTATATTTTCATGGGGTTTGGAAAATTCAGCAGTTGATTTGTGAAGAAATGCATAGTCAAGATGATGATTTTGTGCAAATGGCTATGAAAATGCATGATAAATTTAACAAATATTGGGAGTGTTACAGTTTTGTTTTGAGTTTTGCTGTGATATTGGATCCACGTTTTAAGTTGCAATGGGTAGAGTTTTGTTTGACAAAGATATACCCGAGAACTTTTTCTACACGTGTGAGGGAGATTCGTGAGAAACTGCATTTCATGTTTGATGATTATATGCAATTATATCCCTCCGTTATGGCAGATTCATCACAAGTAGCATCTTTTAGTGAGGGAGTTTCTTCTAATCTTGCTGATGAAATAGATGAGTTTACCATGTATGAAAGTGAACACTATAATTTGAACAGGAATACATCACAGTTGGATTTGTATTTAAATGAGAATAGGCTTCCAGCAAAAGAAGATTTGGATGTTCTTCAATTTTGGAAAGAAAATAGAAATCGATATCCAGCGATTTCATTGATGGCACAAGACATTTTGAGTATTCCTATTACTACAGTGGCTTCAGAGTCCGCTTTCAGCGTTGGCGGTCGGATTATCAACAAATATCGTAGTACCATCTTGCCAGAGAATGTAGAAGCTTTAATATGCACTAAAGATTGGTTATATGGTGAAAAATGTAAGTATTTTATATATTCTTTATTTTGTTAAAAATTTCTTTTACTGCACATAATATTTACGGTAGTTAAATTATTATTTTTCTTTATTTAGAAATGACGTATTTGCTGTTTTATGATATTAATATAGTTTCACAAGAAAATGCCGAGGAAGAAGCTGCATTAATTACAGATTTTGCTCCATTAGTTACAAAACTTCTTGGCTCCAATAGGGAGGTTTACGAAGAGGAAATCTAGTCATGTGACTTATTGGATTGCTCAAAGGTAATATGGTTACTGATTTATGAAGCAATTAAGTATTTTATTAGAGTGCCTTCATGGATGATTGGATGGGATTGTAGACTCCTAGCTGTTGCTTATTTGGTATGGTTTCTAGTTTTGCAGCTTCTTGATGGGCCCTTTGTTCGTGTCTTCTTTCACTCCTTAGGGACTAGTATTCACTGCCCTTGCTGGACTAAAAGAGGAGCTGTGTTTTGGGAAGGTTATGATCTATAGCACTACAAACTTCTCAGTGGCAGCATCATATGCTTCCTAGGCCATGTTGTGTGTAATTTTTTAGCATGCATACTTTCTCTGCACTTTTGTTAAGACCATATCTCTACCAAGAAATTTTAATCATATTAGCATTTCTTTATAGCATCCTCTAATCACTTTTTCTGTTTGTTCTTATTTCTTGCAAACTTTTGTGTTTAAATCTAATTTTTGTGAACTTTTTTTTATGCCCAAGTTAAAGGAGTATTTAGCTCATATGCACTACAGCTGAAATCAAGTACTTGAGCTGTAATGCATTTCTGAATTATGACAAGTAGTTGGAATTGCATAAATAAATTGTAAAGCATTTAACTTCTGCATTCATATGCTTCCTTTGCCCGCTGCAGGTACCATGCCATTACCAGTGCTTACTACAGAGGAGCTGTTGGTGCTTTACTCGTGTAGGAAGGCAGTCGAGGCCATTGATGAAGGTGCTCCTTCATCTGTTCCTCCTAAAGGAGAGACGATCAATATCAAAGATGAGGGATCTTCTTGGAAGAGATTGGATGCTGTTCAAGCTAGAGCTTGCATGGAAATCTTCAAGGACAATGGCTCTTGCTGCATAAGTCTTGTACATTACATCGTTCAACCAGCAATATTGTTCATTTGATTGTCCTCTGTCTTGGATCATATAAGATGACAGTTACATGGAAATACTTTAGTATTTTCATGAAATTCTTACTTGGTAGGATCAGGAATGGGTATAGTTACTTGGTAATACAAAAAAAAAAAAAGTAACCAAAATATATAAATGGATTATAAATGGATAATTGGTTTTTATATAATCCATTTAGATCCATCCATTTAGATCCATTTATTAAATGGATCTAAATGGATTGGATAAATTTCATCCACCATCCATTAAGTCAAAACCAATTATGAACCATTTATCCATATTGCCACCTCTAGTTAAAACATATGCAATGATGGATGCCATCTTAAACAATTTCATAATCATAAATGCATTACCTTTTAAGAAGATTATCCCTTGCAAAGGTACCGTCATTGTTCATTGATCGCGTAGATTTAGGATAGAACCTATTACATGCACATTTATCTCAAATTATATATGCATCATTTTAGGAGAAGAATATATCGCTAAAATGAAAAAAAAAAGTATCATTAGTCAGGTTGGTTTAGGATAGAAGCTATTGCATTTTCGTTGATCTCAAGTTATGGATGCACAATTAGCATGTTAATGATAATTCCATTGAAAAGTTGTGGATGCTTTGAAGAAACAACATTCTAAATTAGAAATGCCATTGAACTACAGAGAACTAGTTAGTGATCAGTGTTTGCAGACCTCTGCTCTATATCGTATAAAAGAAATTACTCAACTTTAATTAGCTATGTTGTAGAATTAGAGCTTAATCAGTTTGGTACATTAAGAAGAAGTTTGCGCAATTATTATCCTATCCTGTTTGCAAGCCATCAAACATACGATCACAATGGGGGACAGCCCTTTTGACAAAAAAGGGGGGGGGACAACCCACTCCAATGTAGGTAGAGGTGTCAAAATGAGTGATTTGGACGGGTTTGGGTTGAGTAAAATGGGTAATGGGTATAAGTGAGTCAACCCATTTATACCCATTTAATTAGATGGGTATAAATGGGTAAGTCAAAAAATGAATTGGGTAACCCAATTACCCATTTATAACCCATTTATTTTAATTTTTTGTAAATTCATTTTTGCAAACTAAGTTATCAATTTATACCGCTCTTTGTACCCATCATTAGTTTTAAATATTTATTTATAATATTCAATAAGCCTAATTACCAAATTTTTTCATTTATACTCTATTTCACAAAATTACATATTATTTAATAATTGAATAATAAGAATATAAAAATTTGAACTAAGTACTATAAAAGTTAATATAAAAATTTAATCCAAAAATTTTTAACCCCTAACATTTTTTTCATATATAAATTTAAAATTTCATGTTAGAAAGATAAGAAAAGAGGCTCAAATTTATCATAAATTGGTAATGCTGAAAACTGAGCAAGTTAACAAACTAAGAGAAAATAAAATAATAAAATAAAACCAACAAATAATAATAATAATGAAACAAAAGTAGTTAACATCATGATAAAATGAAAAATTTGAAAAAAAAAATGGGTGGAGGAAAAGAAGAGATTTAGGGGAAGAGAATTTTAAATGGGTTAATTGGGTTTGATGGGTTACCCAATAATACCCATTTAATAAATGGGTATTATTGGGTAACCCATTTATACTCATATACAAAAATTTAAGATACCCATACCCATCTATTCATGGGCGGGTATGGATAAATTTAGTTAAGTGGATTGATTTGCCACCTCTAATTGTAGGGTTGATAGACCAATATAGTATTACATACAATTTAGGGCATCCCCGATGGTTTATACTCTTTAGAGTGTAATCCACATGCCACCTCAGTATTTCTCTTTCTCATATTTTATTAGGGTTTTTATCACTTTACCCCCTTAACATTCGGTGCCACTATCAATTTTCCTTTTAATGTTATCTTTTAGTCACTTTACCCTTAAGATTAACGGTCAAACTTAACGGAGTTTGTTAATTAAAGCGAAAAAATATGTTTAATTCTTAAAATTATTATCACTTTACCCCCATAAACTATAGGCTCATTATCAATTTACCCTTCTAAAGTTATTTTTTGGGCAATTTATCTCACCATTAAACTAACTTCACAAGTTAAAGAACTTTAGAAAACAGTACCCTTATTTTTATATAATAAAAATAACAAAAAATTTAGAGTGAATTTTCCCCTTTTTAATATCAAGAAAAAAAGTTAAAGTGTTAATTTCTTTTTTTTTAGCAATCTTATTAATATTGAAAAAAAAATAAAAAGATTGGGAGGAAGAGGGGGAGAGAGAGAGAGAGAGAAAGAGTTCAATTTTTTTTTTTAAAAATACAAATAAGAAAGAATTAAATACTTTTACTATTTAAAATTATTTCATTTTTTTGTTTATCACCAAATTCTAATCTTAATCCCGACAACTTTAAAGTAATACGATAATATTAGACTCTTCTAGATTTTCTTTCTTTGCAAAATCCAATATTCTATCTCCTTTTCTTTTCTTAGTATTAATAAGTGTGAAAAAAATTGAGAAAATTATTTTATTTTTATATTTTTGGATCTCTTAAAGTGAAAAAAAAAGAATAATCATTCCAACTTTTTTATTTTTAATTATATATAATAAAATGTAAATGCATTTGCAACCAACTCGCATTAGAGGTGTTGGCCACCATCAAGTCTTTAAAGCTTTGTGTGGTGGGAGGCAAGGTTTGACTAATTGCCACAAGTGTGGCTCTCCAAATCTAGAAGGGTGTAGTGCACTCGTCTGATCCGATGGTGGTTCAGTTCCTATCGGCCCCCCCTCATAGGTCCAGTTGGGTCCCCCCTCTAGAATAGGATAGAGTAGGAGTAGGAGTGGATGCAAGATAGATAAATACCGAGTGTCGGAAAAAAAAAGATCATTTGCCTTTAAAAAAATGGAAAAAAAGGTAAATTGTTGTAAAACTAATAAACTGCTATAGTATAAATAGAGATATTAGAGAAAGATGTAGAGAAAGGAGAATGATATTCTTATGATTCCAACTAATACAAAAGTACTACCAAAGGGTGTCAATGTACCTCTATATATAGGTACTATAAGATTAAAGGAATATCAATCCTATTAAACACCCACTATTACAAGAATATGAAGAAACCTATGAAACGGTTCTTCCACTACATGAATAGATTTATGGATTGTAACTTCTATACATAATGTAGCCAGAAATCATGAATTAATCTCTTGGGAATACAAAGGGACATCCACATTTTAGTTGTTTCATAACACTCCCCCTTGGATGTCCATTACACAAAGAATATGCCTCGTTAAAACCTTACTAGAGAAAAACCCATCGGGACAAAAACCCTAGTGAAGGAAAAAGAGTACACTATTCTTGTGTATTAATTTCTCCCCTGATGCAAACATCATTTGAGATCTTTTAATCGTCGCATTTCAATATGCTCCACTAATTACACTGAGATATGGTACTTCAGGACCAAGTATCTCTTCATTTTCCTCTTGCGGTCTACAAGAATCCTTATTAGGATCTAATGATCTGACAACCATTGGAGTACTTAATGTATGTGCCTTATCCATATAAAACCGCTTTAATACCTTCCGGATATAAGCAGTTTTGTGGGCAAAAATTTCACTTTTCAAATGCTCAATTTGTAAATCAAGGTAGAATTTTGTTTTTCCAAATTTCTTGATCTCAAAATCCTTCTTCAAATATTCAATATTATTTTGAATCTCTTCAGGAATTCCAATCAAATTTAGATCATCAATATATATAACAATGATCACAAAATTTGATCCATTTTTCTTGGTAAAAACATATGGACATATTGGATCATTGGTATAACCTTCTTTAGTCAGACATTCATTGAGGCGGTTATACCACATACGTCCAGATTGTTTTAGGTCATACAAAGACCTTTGTAATTTAATAGAATAAATATTTTTAAAAATTGATTTGCATGCTTCAGGTATGTTGAATCCTTCAGGGATTCTTATATAAATATTATTTTCAAGATTTTCATATAAATATGCAGTAACAACGTCCATTAGACGCATATCTAATTTTTCATGTACTGCAAAACTCACAAGATATCTAAATGTGATAGCATCCACTTTGTGAAAATTCTTGAGGTCCAAATCTTGCCTTATACCTCACAATTTCCTTTTTCTCATTTCTCTTTATCACAAATATCCATTTATATTCTATTGGTTTTACACCTTCAAGTGTTTGGACTACAGGTCCAAAAACTTTTCTTTTAACCAATAAATCCAATTCAGATTGGATCGTATCTTTTCATTTTGAACAATCATTTCTATACCGACATTCATCAACCGATTTAGATTCATGATCCTCATCAACTTCTATAATATCAAGTGTTACATTTTATTAGGCTCCAATTAAATTTTTTTTTTATGATTTCATTCTCTTCAGGAGTTGGCTCTTCAGGAGCAACCTCTTCAAGAGGTTGAATTTTGTTATGACATTTAATCTCCGGAGATATTTGAAATCAATTTATACCTTGTTTAGGTAGACCGGCCTTAAATTTATTTGTAGCACTTGTACATGTCCTTCAGGGACATCAATCTTAGCTAGAGTATTTCCTGTAGGAATAGTTGATTTAATGACTCTTCTGGAGTCGATAAATATAACTTTCTACAAATGAAGAATTTCTTGAATTTCTAGTTCACATTATTTTGTATGAGGATCGAGGAAATTTAATTTTCAGGTGATTTCCTTTCGGTTGATTTTTTTCCTCCCCCTAATGTCGGGAATCGTAACTCATCAGAATAAATAAATCATTTAATAGATCACCCATCAAATATTTTACGATATTTAATCGTAAAAAGTGATTCATACCCGACATAAATTCTAAATTTCTTTTTGGAGCCATATATAATATAAAGGGGGTATGTATAAATATTTGTCGGCTCTCAAATATTCTCACTTTCGTCAAATCATGTATTCATTGGGATCAGTAAATTTCTTATTTACTGCAGGTGATGATTATAAATCAAATGAGAATGAAGACAACTATATCGATAACCATTTCTCCCTCAAATGGTTATTATGATATAATTAACCTTTATCTCACTTGATTTCTAAACATGATCTCTATTATTGTCTCATTTA